CAGCAGAAGTGGTCTGGGAGGCTGAGACTGGGTGTGCAAGCTGGGGGTGGGTGTCTGGGGAGAAAGCATGAGCACGCACCTCCGGCCAAAGTGGAAAATCTTCTGGTCAAGAGCCCCCACGCCCGCTGATGTGCTGGCTCCCTGGCCATGGTGGAACATCATGCCTTGGCAGAGCCCTGCTGACATGAACTGAAGAAGTATCTTGACATGTAGGGAGATCTTTTCTTGTTTTTTTTTTCCTTACGACTTTGTATCTGAAAGCCTGGTGAAAAGAGGCAGCTGGAAGCTGTGCAACTATCCAGCACAAAAGGCCTCAAAGGGCTGTAGCTGGCTGCGGGTTTAGGCTGGAAACATGGAAACTATTCTGCTCTGCTCGTGGTTGGCGGTGGTTTCTGCGCACAAATTATGCGGTGCCTCAGCCAGGACCTGGCCAAGGCCTGCGGTGGGCCAGGCCGTACTGAACCGAGTGGCTGTCAGTGAGTGATTAGGTATCATTATCCTTGCTGATGTGAAATATATAAATAAAAGAGTCTGGTATCCTCCTTCTTAAGGTGATGGGGAAAGGCTGGTGTGGGACTCTGCTCGCTCTGGGAGCACAGTTGCTGGTGAGGAGAGCAAACTTTGCAGCGCTCGCAGTGGACTGGACCCCAGGAGGCAGAGAATTTGTGCTTTTGTGCTTGGCCAGAGCCCATCCTGCCTCTCTGTAGGCAGAAATCTTGCATCCATATCTTGGGTAGCTATTAAGGGAACTGAAAATATGTGTTACTAATGCATTGCTTATGCTAACTGTAGCAGAGCGGCAAGCACAGCGCTTCCAGGAGGCAGGGCGGCCCCTGCCCTTGCTGAACTCCACAGCAGAGCCAGGAGTTGGCCCACATGGCCTTACGCTGTAGGCTGCATTCTTCTGAGACTTTGTGGTATGTCTCTCTGCATCCTAATGGCAATGAGTGACCTGGGAAGGGACATCTAAGCTGCTTTCTTTAGCAGGTGTATGAATTTGTGATTGCTGTGACCAAACCCAGGTTGTCTACTGCATCCAGCCTTCCTGAGCATGATGGTTTGTTAGCCTAACCTAGACCCTAAAGGCAAAGCTGGAGGCACCTGGAAAATGCCAGTGCAGTTGGTAGAGAGCTGTTACGTTTTATAAACCACTGAGCTGTCTGATAGCAAAATTGCGCTAACAGTGCTGGCACAGATGATGCTCTCTACCAACAAGCCCTTGAGGAGCGTGTCACCACCACATGATCATTGCTGAGTCCTGATACTTCTCATTTGCACAAACCGAAGAAGCTGGAGCAGTTATCAGGGCTTTGGTGCTCTAACTTCACCCGCTTTCCTCTTGCAGGGCCTGGCAGTTACACTGTGGGCACCATGTCGGAGCGCTTTGACTGCCACTACTGCCGTGACCCTCTGCAAGGAAAGAAGTACGTACAGAAAGAGGGCCGCCACTGCTGTGTCAAGTGCTTTGAAAAGATCTGTGCCAACACCTGCATTGAGTGCAAGAAACCCATTGGAGCTGACTCCAAGGTGAGTGCTGAGCAGTTAAATGGGTGATGAGAAGACAGGCAGATACTGATAAACCCTCCCATTTGTTTTCCTGGCTCTGGTCTGTTTGTGAGCTTCTATGTGAACACAAGTTCTTTTGTGAGTCCTCTGGCTGATGGGCCCATGTGCTCCTTGGGCAGAGAGGCAGAGGCTCTGGGGCACTGCAGCAGGGATGCTCCCCATGGGCTGCTTTTGCACAGGAGCTAATTTCAGGATCTAGGTTCAGCCACATGAACTGCTGCAAATGCTGAATTATCCTGAAGAGAGAGTACTGCAGGTAATCCAGCCTGCACAGAACTTGCAGAAGACTCATCTTCTGGGCAAAGCACTTGGGAACCTAGGGTCTGACTTTTGCCATTTTGTCAAATGTTTATTGCTTCATGCTTATGGCAGTAATAAGGTACACCTGAACTAGAGGGAACTTGACAACCAGAGAAGCCCACAGTTACAGAACTTCAAATCGCAAAGCTGTTGGTTTGAAGTATCTTCTGCTACCGTCAAAGTCCAAAGTGAATGCAATTGTGTCAGTGAGTTTGGTTAAATGTCCTTCCCTTGACTGCTTGCAGACGAGCTACACCTCCAGCTACTGAATGCAGACATGCTTAGGAACTACCTTTACTGCCAAGGCCGATGGGACAGTAGCTTGGTTTTAGGGCTGCTGCTCAGCAAGAGAGAAGGGCTCATTGCTCACTCCATTTCTGTTCGTTCCAGGAGTTACATTTCAAGAACCGTTACTGGCATGACAGCTGCTTCCGCTGCTTCAAGTGCTATACGTCCTTGGTCAATGAGCCCTTCATGCTAAGGGAGAACAACAAGGTTTGGTGTAGCAACTGCACTGCCACCGAGGATGCACCCAGGTGTAAGGGCTGCTTCAAGCCCATTATTGCAGGTACTGGTGCCCGTGATAGGGGTACAACTCCCACGCTCTGCTCTAGGGCAAAACCAGAGTGGTTTATCAACTGTGGAGGCTGCAGTTTGGGGTATGGCATCCCAGTGGAAGGCTGGAGCACCACAAAATGGTGCAAGTTTTGACTGTTGCTCTCATCTGTCCATTTTATTCAAGTGTTGAAAGGCTGCTTTGCAACTAACCCTCATATGGATAGTTCACCCTAGTAGTTAGTCTTAAACCATTTCTACCAAAAGCTTTGCTCTGTAAATCAAAGTCATCTTCTCAGAAAGGCTCAGGCACCTGTCCAACAAATATATTTAGAAAATCCAGAAGGCCATGGCTAAAGTCAGATACAGAAATGAACAGCTCATCTGTTGTCCATGTCACAGTTGAATCCTGGGCATAGGTATGGACAGGTCTTGCCTACAGGTGTGTTGCATTGCGCAGGGTGGGGAGTTTGTCAGGAGCCTGAAATCCCCTGTAACAAGTTATTTCTGTCCATTGTAGGAGACCAAAATGTCGAGTACAAGAAGATGGTCTGGCATAAGGACTGTTTCACTTGCAGCCAGTGCAAGCAAGTGATTGGATCTGGGAGCTTCTTCCCCAAGGGTGATGACTTCTACTGTGTCTCCTGCCACGAGCATAAGTTTGCCAAGACCTGTGCTAAATGCAAGAATGTAAGTCCCTCTGCATTGCAAAGGCAGCTGCCAGAACTAGCCCTTGCGTGTCTTTTGGAAGCTAGGAGAGTAAACCAGTAGCAGATCGCACTGAAGCTGTACCAATGCTTATGTTCCTTCCTTGAGATACTGGTGCAAGCAGCTGGTGGTATAATAACGTGAGAGCTAATGGTTCTTGCACACGACAGCATTGGAGCAGGGGCTGTGGGGTTATCTGATGGCAACTCTGCTGAAACCAAGTGGGCACCGGCCTTGCACTTGCTTTGGGGATGGTTTAAGTTCTCCAGTAGGTATTGTGTATTCAAGCAGTAGAACAGTATTTTAGAAAATAGCTGTTGTACAACTTTTGCAACTGATTAGTGTAGAATTGCAGTCACTGCAGGTAAACTAAACTATTATGAAAGCTCCAGGCACATGGGACTTCAGGCTAGAGGAACTCAGGTGTGCTGCACTATCATAGAATTGTTTAGGTTGGAAAGGACCTCTGAGTCCAACCGTTAACCTAGCACTGCCAAGTCCACCACTAAACCATGTCCCCAAGTGCCACATCTACACGTCTTTTAAATACCTCCAGGGATGGTGACTCCACCACTTCCCTGGGCAGCCTGTTCCAATGCTTGACAATCCTTTTGGTGAAGAAATTTCTTCCTAATATCCAGTCGAATTTATTTAATGAAAACTTTTAGGAGATCTTCTCCATGACAAAGTCCTCCTATCCTATACCTCATGCCCTCTGCATTACCTCTCTTCCTCCCTAACCGATTCTGAAACATCTCTGCTCTTTGCCTCCTAGCCCATCACTTCTGGAGGCCTCACTTACCAGGAACAGCCTTGGCATTCGGAGTGTTTCATTTGCTCCAACTGCAAGAAGCAACTGGGTGGGAAGCGCTTCACAGCTGTAGAGGATCAGTTTTACTGTGTTGACTGCTACAAGGAGTGTGTTGCCAAGAAGTGTGCTGGCTGCAAGAATCCTATTACAGGTATGTTGGATTAAATGCAGCTTTTGAGGGTAGTGGGTGCTTAAGGTCAGAGCAGCGACCCCGAGACATGCAGCTCAGAAGCTGCTAACACCAGAAGCAGGCCTAGTATCCCAAGCTCAATCCCAGCAACTTACATGTGATCTAACTATAAGCCATGTGCTCTTGCTGGATGGAGTCCCAGATAGTAACTGAGCTCTTCACCCTTTGCACACCTCAAATTTACCTTCTTCAAAACTTTCCCAACTAGAACTGTTCCCACCTATATCTTAGTCTGGGAACCTTAAGTCTAAAAAGAGCAGTGCTTTATTTGCCCCTAAATGACAAGTTGCTTTGCTTCTGATATATTTTACTTGTAACAGTTAATCGATTACGAAGCTCAGCCCTGAAGTGGGCACTATCCTGCCAGTCCCATGAGACTTGCATTCTATTCTGCAATTCAGAGTGTGGATCTGAGCCCGTAACTACCAGGTAGGGTGTTTTACCCAACCTGTCCCTGCTGTACATCTTGATCTTCCCTTCAGCTTCACTGTTTCCTAGAGGAAGGACCCAAGAGAAGCAGCTTATTGCAGTGACACGCTACACAAGCTTTATGCTAAGCTGCCTGTTTAAGAGCAGTTAATAGGGAGGAGCAAACAATGTGGCTCAGTTGCAATTTTGGCTAGTATTTCAGGCATGCAAATATGGTCTGCAAGACTACAGAAGCAGAGGAGGCAGTAAGAATGGGATCTGCTGCTTGGTGGGCTGACCCAGCCACAGGCAAAGCTACTATCGCCGTCCTATAATTGTTTTCTCTCCTAGCAGGATTTGGAAGAGGAACCAGTGTGGTTAACTACGAAGATGAGTCCTGGCACGATTATTGTTTCAAATGCACAAGGTGTGCCCGTGGTCTGGCCAACAAGCGCTTTGTTTGCCATAATGGAAAAATTTACTGTGCTGAGTGTCCCAAACGACTGTAAGGAGCAAACAGCAACTGCTGTAAAATGGATTTTAGAGCCCTGCTTTCCAAAACAGTTCTGGTAAAGGAGCAGGTTTTTGCATGTTAAGAATTTTAACTTTTTCCATTTTAGTGTAACAACTAAAGTAGCCTCAATATACTGGGTTTGACTTTTGAAGCTCCTGCAGTACAAAAGCATGTAGCATTGCTAAAATCTAACTTTGTTTCCAAGTAACTCTTAGCGTAAAGGCTTGAAATGCCATTAGGTTTAGCATTAGAGATCCACATAGTACATAATCTACGTGTGGCTTAAACTAAAACAAAGCTAGTTTTAAACTTGTCTGGAATACGTTTAAGCTTGGCACTTAAATGAAGTGGGTTTGATGAGGCATGCACCTCCAAAACAGAGATGCAAAGATTGCACCTGGGCTGAGAGAGATCTATTATTATGCTTTTACAAGTACAGGTACCTTACATACATCACACTCTTCATAGCAGCTCAATAATTAATACCTTAGCTTACCCTACCACACCAAACTGCAGCATGTGTATGGAATGGCTTCATCTTAAATATAACATGGTTTTGGCAGTACAATTTAGCTTTAGTTAAGTTTCCATAAACTTGTTTTAGTCTTGATTTCCGCATGGTTTGCCCAAAAGTTTTGCTCATCAGCTTTTTTTACATCATTGTTTAAACGAGGCTGCCTATATACAATTATTAATCCATTAACAAGAAGTAAATCTTTCAACTACAACAAAATGCACATGCATTTAGAAGTGCCTTTAAAAATAGCTCAGACAACACTAGCTCTCCTATCATGTCAGTGTATGTTTTATGATTTAATAAAAATGAGACTAGTGCCTGCTTGGAGTCCTACAGTCTGGAAAATTGTTTTTTCATTTTTGCCGTCTTACACGATTGACACCCCTTATGGCTGAGCTATGGAAATCAAGTCTCATACACTGACACTGGCAAAATAAAGAGTCAGCTGTTCTGCCATAGCACCCTTATAAATATCTGAGGACCAAAGCAACAATTTCCATAAACTAATTAATTTTTTTAATATCTAACTGTCATGGGACCATCTGCCAACAACAGCCTGTGTGAAAAAGCCCTTTGGAGAACATATGTGCAGCCACTGTCCATACACAGATCTACTCCCCTTCAGCAACCTGAACACAGGTTTAAGGTTGGTTTTTTTCCACAGTAGTGAAATACAGAAATACTTATCAACTGGATGCTGCTCCAGTCATTCCCTTTTGGTCACAAGCACCCACCAGAAACAAAGAACCCTTGCAAGACAAACAAAAGGCAGCATCTTGGTGTATTCTTGATGGTCACTGCTCCACCGTGGCCATGGAGCACCGCTGGACTCACTGTTAGAACATAAAGATGCTTGTTCTACAAGTAAAGGCAAAGGTTTACAGTGAAAAGCAAGTTAAAGAATTCAACAGTTACGAACACATCACCAGCACGTACAAACACAGCAAGATCTGCAGGTGTTAGTACCAATACCTTCCCCACCACGCAAATGCCATTGCCAAAGAGGCTGCTAGTTTTGGGAGGCTGCAGTGTGGAGCAGAGCAGCACCAGAGTGCATCTCAAGGCAGGTCAGCATGGCAAGGGGTTGGAGACTCCTAGTAAGGGAATGTTTAGCATTACAGAAATAAAGCATTGTTCAACTGCAAAGTTTATTTAACAGTGCGCACGTATTTACATAGAGCTGTAACAGACCAGTCAACAAATAATCTCAGCACAGAAAAAAAAATACCGGCATTTTTTTTTGTTAGAATGATTGTCTCTGCCAGAATGAAACAGCTATCATACAAAAATACACTTTTCCTTTTACCTAAGGCACTGCTCTAAAGTCTAAAATAGTCCTACCGTATTCTGAATAGCAAACAGCAAGAGTAAGAAGGCTGAGGGTTTCCTATTGTAACTGCAATGTTGAGGAAAGAACGCATTTAGTTCCAGCAAAACCATTTGCATTTAACCACTGAAAACACAGCTGCCGTTTGGATGATTCATTTGAATTGAAATATCAGCCAATGGTTTATAGCAGGATTTGAGACAGTTATTCTTTAAAGTAATCACTTATCCAGTATATCTGTTACAGGAGACGTAAGAACAAGACTGCATTATTACTTTTAGTAGCAATTTTCAGAAGATGCTTAGTTAATCTCTTCATGCTGTAAAAAGCAGGCAAATTTAGGTTAAATAGATTACTTAATACAGGCTTTAGGGGAAGGGAAATATATATGCAGCTTTCAGCCACTGTTACAAAGCTAGAACAGGAACACTTAGAATAATTAACATCAACAAAACATGACTTCAGTGGTCTAATACTGTTATGTACACAATAAAATAATACTTCCGTAAGTGTAGATGAACTTAAATAAGTAAGTCAAAAGGAAACCATTTCTAAAAGCATGAATGTTAAACTGTACTATATGACAGACATATCTAGGTACTCAACATTTCTGTAATGTATTAGTGCATATGCTGTAAAATGTTGTCATGTTTGCCAATAGATTAAAACACGTTAGTGACGGTACAATACTGCATTTCGAAACTGCCAATATCTTCATGTTAGAAAAGAAGGAACTCTTCTTCTCCATTCAAAATTGAAGATATTCCATTTTTCATTTTTAAATAGCACATGAACCAACAAGTTCACAGCATTTTACTAGAATGTTACAAAGGGAGTTAAGCTTTAACACGCACTGAATGAGTCTTATTTCATCAAGTGCCATTTTAGGAACATGTAAAATCTGGCCAGTAGCTAAGTGGGGAGCCGCCAGTGGCGTGTTGCTGTACAGAATACCGATATGAAAAGGAAAAAAAAAAAAAAAGGACTTAGGTTACTGTAAAGTCTATGAAAGGGAGACAACAAGTGATATTTGAACAAGGAGATCTTATCTAACAATTAGCTAAATGAATGGAAAAGGAACATCAGCACAATAGTTTCCCTGAAATGTTTCAAGGTGCAAATGAGAAGTTTGTCATCCCTCCCCTGGTGTTTTTTTGTTTATTTTTGCAAACTTGAAGATGGATAAAGGTAAACAAGCAGCTTTTCAAAACAAGGCCTTCGGTACTTGATAAAACACTGGATTACTGAAGTGCAATCAGATTATTTCCAGGTCTCTAGTGTTCACAGTTCTGTCCAAAGAGCAAAGAGAAGAGAACATTTAACCATCATAACTGTGTGTATGCCACATATGTCTATCGTTACTGTCAGAGCCTACATCCAGGGAGTGAGCACAGAACCATGTGGTTACAGTCCAAAATCAATGCAGTAGCTTTTTGGTTTTTTAAATACAAATACTAGTTTTCAAAGTTATGTACATTAATTCTTAAACCATATTATGTCTAAACATTTTCAAGTTCAAAAGGCAACACTTTCTTCACTAAAATGTTAATGATTTCGATCAAAACAAAATGTGATCAGCGGTATCACATTAAATCCATCTATTCCCACAGCCCAGCTAGTCGTGGCCCCAAGGAAAGTCTCAATAAGGCTACGTTGATAGGACTAAAATTCACAAGACGCAGAATGACAGAGGAGACTCAGGAAACAGTTCAGTCTAGAAAAGTGCTACACTTTAATCAAAAAAAGTGCTACACATCACTTAAAGAAAATGTGGATAGCAAGTCTTGTTTTTTCCACTACTATTCATTTCAACTGTTCATACAGTCATTTATCTCATGGAAAGAAATCTCCTGCTGTGAGTACGTCCATTTGGGGTTTAGCTCCACCACCAGAGAAGTTTAGCCTTACATGAACTAGCTTACTGAAGCCTGTACTGCATCAGCGTTTGGCTTTTCAAGTACGTGTGGCTTCAGATGCAGCCCTGCTTCTTTCAGAAAATTCAGAATATCGTGTGTGCAGCTTTATTACTCCTCCCAAAACATGGAATTTAAGGTTGGTGTTACCCCCTTCGGTGAAGTGAAAGACTATTCTACAGTAAGTAGAGAGGACAGCTAATACCTTGCCAGAGCCTAAAGAGACCTTGTAAGACCATACAGGTCAGCATCAAAAAGTTACAGAACATGCCTAGGAGCAGAAAGGTCTTGTCTGCGGAGTTACATCAGACACCTTTTAAACTGTTAGTATCTTCAAAAGTAACATGTGCCATTTAAGATATCTTAGGAGCAGCTTAAAATACAACAGATGGGCTTGAGTGCTGGTAGGAGATACAGGAGCTTCACAGGGGCTCAGCTGTGTCTTTGGAAGAGCCTTAACGCTGGGCCTTAGCTGCTGTCTAGAGCAAGTCCCTAAAAAGGCATCAGTTGTTGGTGATTCCTTTTGACAAAATTCAAGTTACAAGCACTAAAGAAAGAGCTTTCCCTCCGGTCTACACATTGAAAAAAGTGCCTTGAAAATAAGAAGCTGAAGTTAAGGCAAGGAGAGTAAAATGCAAGGAAGTTAATTACCTAGCCAGAGGAAGAGACAGATAGGGAAATCAGCTTGGATTACCTGATGAAGCATCTATAGGTTTGGTCAATGAATTCACTGCACCATCTTCTTCAAAAGCCAATTTGGGACTAGAAGGTATTGTAGCAGCATCATTCAAGTTTTGATTACAGTTACCAGCAGAGATGCTGTCTGAGCTCAGTTTGGTTGACTTGGAATGTACTCCAACGTCAATAAACTCCTCAAAAGTCCATGAACCAGATTTTCCATTAAGATTCTGAATAAGTCCAATTGTACAATCAGCTTCGTTAACACCCAACTTCACCGAGTCATCGATAACCATTTCTTTTGCAGGATGGCTAGAAATAGAAGAATGGACAGTTGTATTACAATTTCTGCATATTTAACCTTTAGACTGATTACAGGCCAGCCAATTAGCAGTCTGCATACTTTGCAACGAACTGAATATCCCGAAGGGCATTCCCAGACAAGCTCCTCCAGCTGCCATGCAGGATCTCCCCTCCAAGAGCCAATGGGGAAGAATGGCTCACCAACAGACAACCATTTTTTACTATACTAAGAGCTCTCAGGTAAGTAAGGTCTGGCTGCAGACATTTGATATAAGACAGC